TGAAAAACTGAAATATTTTTATAAATATTGTTTGAAAATATTATTTCGTTTAATTTTAAATCATTAAATATATATACATATATATACATATTGAATTCAATGTAAATCAAATATTTTTTTTCCTTTTGATGGAAAAAATAAGCATTAAAAATGATCATATTTTATTTCTCATTTTTTATTTCTTATTATTCTAAACTTAGAATGTTATTCTAAACTTAGAAACTTTTTATTCTTAAATATTAATATTTGTTAAATTTAATAATTGGACTATTAAATCAAAATAAACATGATTTTTTATTTTATACTTATAAAAAAATACCTTTAAAAAAATTACAGTTTATTAAAATTAAAGTATAGTTATGCATATTTACTAATATGATTCTGGCCAATATCGATTGATTAGATCCTTGTAAATTTATTAGAGAAATGTGTGAATTCATAAAAAATGGTCCAACAAAAAGAGAGAGCTTACTTTCTCCTCTTGAAACATTTTCTCTCTCTCTCGATTTGTTAACTCTCGATTCTTTTTTCAAAATGGTTTTCTTTATTTTTTTTCACTTTTTTTTTTAATGATTACTTATTCAATTGATCATATATTATAAAATTTATTATAAATGTCTTAAACAATACATATTTTTTATTTAAATAAATATTTATAAATAAAATTAATGATACTTGTGAAATTTTTCAATACTGGTTTTTAATATGTAGCTAAATAGTTTATATGTAAATAATTGTATATTGTATGTATATATATATAATTGTATATTATATGTAAATAATTGTTATATGTAAATAATTGTAATTTTGTGACGTTTGAAAGATTAACAATTATTCTCTATGTCTATTAATAGTATTCAAAACAGTATGATGCAATATAACATAAAATGTATAAATGAATATAAAGTATAAAATGATGTAAAGTATAAAAATTTAGAATCATTAGAATCTGTTCTATAGAATTCAAAAAAAATTAAATTAAAATTCTAATAATTTAGAAAATTATTTCTTGCAAAAGTGATTAAAATTATTATTAATATAAATATATTAATCTTGAGTTAATAAAAAAATTAATAGATTTTATATATCACTATATATAATTACTATATAAATAATAATTTTAAATTTTTAATCAATATCTAATATATATATGTTTTTAAAAAAAAAAATGCAATTATGGATATCAAGAGTAAAAATAATATGACTATGCATAATATCTTATTCATCTTATTCATCTGGTTTTATATTTATTTATAAGTAAGACATTATCTGATCTTTTATTATATAAATGAATAGAGTTCAAACTTATACGAA